GGGGCACTGGGGGGGAGGAGAGACGGGACAGGGACAGGGCTGGAACCTCAGATGCTGCATGGTGGGAGGACTACAGTGACACGCCGGGGCAAACCTGGAAGCTCATGTGCTAGGCAGGTGCTTCGCCACTGGACACAGCCCCAGCCAGCACCAGTGCTTTCCACAGGGCTGGGAACCTCATGCTGCCTCATGGGGCACCAAAACCCAAACTCTGGCTCCGGGACATGGTAAGGGTAGAAGGGGTCCAGGTGACAGGCCACCCAAGCAGGGCCACGGCCCAGTGCATTCCAGTTCCTCCCTCCCTCCTAAGCATCTGGCTTCGAAGGATCTGGGGGAAGGTGGTGCTGACCTGGGTAGGTCTCTGAGCACCGGTCAGAGGCTAGGCTGAGGGGAAATCGAGGCACTTCTGGCATGTACCAGCTGCCAAGGGGAGTACAGAAGATCCGAGACCGGGATCTCAGCCACAACCAGTTACCTTCCCTCCCCTGTCCCTGAGAAGTCCACAGAGCTACAGTTCTCCTTAGACTGCTTTTATCTTTCTGGCCACCCAGGTAGGTGCAATGAACTACACAGGGAGTTCTGGTTTATACTGCTACTGGCGACAGAACTCAGGGCCTCAGCACTACATCCTGGCCCTTATTTTTTACATTTTTAAGACAGGGTCTAGCTAGGTTGCCCAGGCTGGGCTTGAATTTGCAATCCTCCTGCCTCAGGCTCCCAGAGTGCTGGGATTACAGGCACGCACCACCACGTCTGGTTTAGGGAGATATATGTGACCCACATCTCCTGTAGAAGAGATCCATGGGGTCAGAGAAAAAAGATTTGGGATAATGGGATGAGAAGCGCCAGGAACAGGTAAGCCAGAGAAATGGGTGCTGGAGGAGGGAGGCAAAGGACGGGAGTCACAGAAGGCCAGAGGAATGTGGTCCAATGCCAGCTAACAGGAGCCACTGTTACCTGCGCTGTGGATGGACTCATCCCCTTGGAACGGACACTCACTCAGGGCTCCGACCCGGGCCATGGACCCGCCCAGAATAAGTTTCATCGACTCCACAAAGCCCTGGGGGGACAGCACGTAAGATGGGGGACCTACCACCTACTCCCTCCGTCGCTGCCAACTCCGAGTCCTTCCTGCTCACCTGCACCCTCGAATAAGCCTTCTGACCAGTCCGAATCTCCAGCCGGCTGACCTCCGCCGGGGGGATGGGGGCCAGGGCTGGCAGGCCGGCGTGCTGGTCACCCAGCTTGCAGTCCACGTAGAGCTGTAGGCTGGGGTTGGGCCGGGCTGGACCTCGGAGCCGTAGGAGAGCCGTGTGTGTGCGCCCATCAGCCAGGCCTGCTTGCTGCAGACTCACCGCATGGACTTTGCCATCCTCCCGCTGGTACCGCACCAGTACTGTCCAGGAGGGGGCCAGTCTGTGCACTGTCCTCCTCGAGGCTTAGACACCACAGCGCTGAAGCTACCACCCCTAACACAGGCGCATTTCTCAACACCGTGTACCAAACAGGTACACGACAGCCTTCTCACATCGTCGTTTGGTCTTCAGTCAACCGGGTCACCTCTGCCTCTCCAGGGGTGGCAGCTAGTTCTGCGCCCACTCAATGATCCCCGGAGTCTGAGGAACCTCTGTCACTGCTGGGCACAGTCCCAAGTGGTCCTCCCCAAATATAACCTCTTACCCCCTCCTCACCCCCTGCAATGCCATGGATGGAACCCACGGCCTCAAGCTTGCTAGGCAAGTGCCAGCCCACCGACCTCCATACAGACCCTCCCCTCCCCACAGCAGTCTGGGTTCCCAGCCTTCTGACTTCCTCAGCACCCCCACTCATGCCCCTGGCACCTGGCACAGCCAAAGGGGCCCATGGTCCTAGCGGAGGTCAAGGAGAATTAGGAGGGGGGAGAACGGGGCATGTTCAGGTGTGGTGATTCTCTGGGGCAGGAAAGGAGGTGCCACCAGTCACCTTTGTTGATCTTGCCCACAACAGAGGCCTCCAGCCATCGCGTATTGTCTTGGCGAGAGTACAGTCCGAAGAGGACACCACCCTGCTTGGGAGGCAGGCGAAAGGTGGACAGGAGGTAGATGTCCCCAGCGGTGAGCAGGGCCGTCCGGATCTTCTCTGCCACGGCTCCCATCTGCCGGGACTCACCCACAGTCAGCAGGTCAACGACTGGCCAGGCAGGGTCATCAAAGAGCAGAGTCACACGCAAGACCTGGCCCCTCGCGAGCCCTCAGGGTCGGGCACCCTAAGCACAGCTCCCCATCAGGCAACATACGGTCAACTCAGAGCTCTACCTCTTGCTACCCCAGAGAGGAGGCCGCGGCTTTCCTCCCTTCATTATTACCTACTACCTCCCTCTGGGAAGCTGCAGGCCTGCTCACTTAGAAATACAAAAACCAGGGCTTTGGATTTAGCTCAGTGGTTCTGCCGCCTGCCTCAAAAGCACAAAGTCCAGAGTTCGGTCCCCGGTACCCAAAAAAAAAAAACCCAAAAACCCAAAACCACCCACAAACTTTAGATGCCCCACCAGGTGGCGCACGGGAGACGACGCGCCGCTCAATCAGGAGTGGCACCTGGTGCCCAGAGCCCAGCGATGAGAGGCGGGCAGCCTCTCTCCACTGTTGGGTTTGGGTCCTCCGCACCCCGGCACTCGCCTCAGGGGACTCAACACTCTCCTCTGATAAGTACGTATGCCCACTGAGGGCTCTGACCCGCCCACCTCCTGAGCTTCCCCGCCCCAGTGGAAAGTAGGACCTAGCTCCTCTGCCTCCAGCGTTCTGGCCAATCTGTGGTTTCTCCAGCCAGTAAAGAATCTCTGCCTGTGTCATCCGCTCCAGCTACCTCTCCCACACCCTAGGGCCCACCCCACCGCCAGACCTCCGGGAGCGCCAGACCGCTCAGTCCCCACCCCCACGATCTTTGTGAACCAGGAGCCTGGAGAGCAGGGGGACTGTGCCCAGGGCCCACAGCGCACCCTCCTTCAGGCTGCTCCCCCAGACCCTGGGGTGCCTGCAGACGCTCTGACACCAGCCAGCCAGCAGCCCGACCAGCTCCGACCCTCTGCCGTGGCCTCAGGCCTGACCCCGGAGTGCTACTCACCACCACTCTCTGGACCCCACTCCTCCCCATCATGCCATAATTTCACCAACTCCAGGCAGCGTAATTCTTCCCTCTGGCTCAATTTCGGGACTCTTCCTCTCTCTCCTGGCCTACATGTTCCCTAATACCAGGGCTGGGGGTAAATAGGAGGCTGAGATGGGGTCTAAGAAGCTGGACACAGGCTTACCCTGCAGGTCCTGACTGGCAGATGTAAAAGAGCACAGGAAAAGGACAGCCAGGGCCCCCCGAAGTTTCTGCGTCTCCATGCCGATCAGCCGGCTCACTAGCCCTGCCAGGCAGGCTGCTGGGAG